ATTTTTAAGAGCTCTTCGAAAGCGCCAGCAAGAAAATGTTCTAATCAATTCAATAAGTGATATTATTTTAGAATTTGTTAGTAATTTTTTTATTTTTTATTATCTGTAGTAGTTTCTAGTTATTAACCAAAAAATTCTCATTCTGAGAGACCAAAACATTTTTAAAAATATGTTTTGATGAAACATATTATTTTTGTAATTATTTTTAAATATATTTCAGGCCAACTCTAAGTACAATTATTTTTGTCTTGATAGGCCAACTCTGAGTTTAATTGCTACATAAAGTATTGCTCTAACCAAGTTTTCCAAGATCGCACCTTTCAAGCATTAGTGTAAGTATTTATTTAACAACTTTTAAAACTTGCCCAATATAATGGTATCTATTTATACTTTTTAAACTTGCAAGATATAATGGTATCTATTTATATTTTTTAAAACTTGCAAGCTATAGTGGTATCTATTATATTTTGATAAATTTTTAAGTTGATTAAAAAAAAAAAAAAAACATTTTTTATTTGCATAGAAACACAAATCCGCAGTTTGCTGATGCATTGAGAGAATTAGAAGCAGATCCCAAATGTCAGGGTTTGAGCATGCATTCTTTCCTTACCATGCCTATGCAAAGGATAACTCGTTTGCCATTACTTGTTGATGTATGAAAAAATTTTATTATCAAAATTTTATGTTAAAACAATTCTAGTTTTTATAATTCTATTCTAAAACACTTCTAGCTTTTAATTTGTATTAAAGTTGTATAAATTTATCTTTGGTTATTAATAGCTATTATAATATCTTTATAATTATACTAATATATTATATAAAATATAATAAAATTATAGTTATATAAATAAAAGTTATAAAAAGTTGTAGAAATAAAAATTCTATTTTTGATTTATTATAGAAACTGCATATTTTACTAATCATAAAAACTGTTTAGAAACAATTATTATTATTTATTTATTTTATGAAAGTTATTTATTATTCAGAGTTTAGAATAATTTATTATAAAAATCTTTATTTAATTTCTAGGCAATAATCAGAAGATGTGAACTTCAAAGTGAAGAATATCTTTCAACTGAAAAAGCTTTGAAAGCAATTCATATAGTATATGTTTTAAAAATATTATAGTTTGAAAGAAAAAACTTAAAATGTAATGCACAAATACCTATTTTGAAGTAATTAGTAATTAATAAAATTACATTAATACATTAATAAAAAAGCATTACCTACATTAATAAAACATTATCTACAACATTAATAAAATTATTAAACTTAATAAATTAACATTAATAAAACAAAATTAATAAAAATTAATAAAAGATTAACTACATTGAAAAAAAAGGTGCACACAAGCATCCTATTTTTACATACTTGTGTTAAGTTAAAAAAAAGGTGCACACAAGCATCCTATTTTTACATCTTGCCAAAACCTAAACCCTCACTTGATGTATCTACACTCCACTGTACCTGTTAAAACCTAAACCCTCAGCTGATGTATCTACACTCCACTGCACTTATTCCTATTTAAGTCAGTTGATATATGTGCACTCTTCTCTCATTACGGTTATGTCAGTTGATTTATGTATGCATTGATGCACTTATTCTCAAAAACTTTTAAAAATAAAAAAAAATGATAATCATAACTATAAATAAACAACAATAATAGTTAAAAAATATGAAACTACTTCGAAATAAAAGTTTAAATGAAAAACAAAAATGAGTTCCCTAAGGCATTTTCAAACCCACAATCTTGTCAACTGCACCTCATAATTTTATCAATGTAACATAGTACTACATTATTGTTACTTGTATGAAAAATTAATGTACTTAAACATTTTTTCCGTGCAACTAATAATTCTATTAAATACGTGCACATTATAATTTTCAAGCACATAAGATATTCTTAATTATGCAAAATGCATTTATAGTTCTGGATATTTTTTAAAAATATTTTCCAGATTTTTTGGATATTTTTAGGAAATTTTTTTACAGATTTTAAAAATATAACCTGGATAATCACTGAAAGTTCTATCTATAAATTTTATTATGATGTATTGATCTTTTAAAAGGTAAAACAATAATGTACACATCTTTAGCAAATGTCTGGTTTCAGTTAACTCATTGGAATTTTAAATTCCTATGAATTTATAGAAAATATTTGCTTGGTAGAGGGGATTCGAAAGTGCTATTGCAACTTTAAACTCTAATTATTAAAATTTCTTTGGGTCAAAGAACATTCAACAAAGTAGCTCTCCTACACTATGGTTGGATAATAATACTACTAATGGTCCAGATTTCACTGAATCCAGATTTCACTGAAGAAACTTTTAATGATTAAATTAAATTTTAATGATTTTAATGAAACCCTTTAATATGGAGCAACCCACATTGCACATGGTATTTGGATAAAAAAACAAGTTAATTTTAATAAACCCGAAAAAGGTTTTGTTGAAATTAACAATTGTATAAGGGCAGTAAATTTCTAATTAGGTGCAATACTAGCTAACAATAAAAACTTGTCAAAAATGCTATTGATATTCATCAGGGGTGTTATTGACATCTTGATTAAGAATACATCACTTGCAAACTATTCAAGTTTGATGCAGCAAAAATTTGGTTGTGGTGGAATAGTGTTGCAAAATTTTGATTGTCGTAAAGTTTTATTGTCGCAAATTTGATTGTCAAAAATGTTAAAAAGAAATAGTATCGCAAATTGTCGATTGTTAAATAACAGAATAAGAAATAATATCGCAAATGAGTATTTAATGAAAAGTGTTGAAAATAAAAAAAAGAATGTCAAAAGCACAAAAAAAAAAAAGAATAATGTCATAAATGAGTTTAATGAATAGTGTTAAAAGCACAAAAAAAAAAAATAATGTCATAAAGGAGTTTAATGAATAGTGCCAAAAGCACAAAAAAAGGGATAGTGTTGCAAATGAGTTTAACAAACAAGTGAGCTATTGCTGAAATTAACTATTCGCAACACTATTCTGTTTTTACTATTTGCGACACTATTTCTTTATTTTGTTTTCAACATTTTGTTTTTCAACACTATTCATTAAATTCATTTGCAACACTATTTCTTTTTTCTTTTTTTGCAACATTAGGTCTTTTTAATATATTCAATGGTATTCTGAAGTTCATTTTTCAATACTATTCCTGTCACTCAAAATTTGCTCTGCTGGACTGGTTTCAACCTTGCTATGGTCTTCTGGTTTTAACCTTGCTATGCTGGACTGGTTTCAACAATTTATTATATATTTATTATTCAATTTAAGTAACAGAATGCCCATGTTACTAATATATCCACCATTTATGAAATTAAATAAAAAAACTGTTTTAAACATAGCTAACAAACTTTTATTTTTCCTTATTTGTATTTGACAATGTTATTTATGCAAAAATACATTTAATGTAAGACTTTCAGATTTCCACATGCAGTTATTCTTGCAGCAAAACAATTCTATTTTGAATAAAGTTTTATATTGTATGCTCAGACTCCAAACTTTCTGAATTATAAATTTTAATCAAATGTATAAATTATAATACTAAAAATATTTGTCATACTTGTTTTTTTGGATGGATATACTTATATGTGGTATTAATGCATGCGGCTTATGCAATCACACGAAGTCTGGTAAACATTATAATTGTGTTATTTGAACTCATAGATGTATGAAGGTTGTTTGAAGTTTCAGTATTCTTGTGTGCTTAGTATGAATTATAAAGCCTGATTTTGAATTTTAAAGTTTGATTGCACTGAAAGTTTTTATTCTTAACAGTGACTAATATATTTTCTGCCGTGGAATTGCCCATGTATATGAGCAATTCCACAGCAGAAAATGAAAAAGTAGTCAAATTTTATTCTCTTTTTTGTCAACTTTTAACATATGAATATTGATGTAGACACATTAAAGCTCTTTTTGTTTTTTCCAAAATTTAGTTTAAAAACTTGAGTTTTTTGATAATATATGCGAAAGAATATTAAAAGTTACGTTTTTACATTTAAAGTTTTGAATAACAATGATTAGTTAAAGCACATTTTAATTTTAAAATTGTGTAACATAAGTTAAAACTTCTTGCAATTATAAAAGTTCTGGTGCTTTTTCGTTAACAAAATGAATTATGCCATTAAGTAATTCTTATTTCATCGTGTTGGTCTAACTAAAACGTTTTATATTAGGAGAATTTAGAAAAAAAATCTTTTTTTAGTTTTTTAATGTTAATTGAAATTATTTATACTATTTTTTTTTTATTTGTTTATGTATTCTTATTTTGGTTGAGATATAAATATACATAAATAAATAAAAATAAGAATTATATAACTACTTTTATTTAGAAATTAAAAAAAAAAAAAAGATTCATTTCTTTTAATATGAAAAAAATCAATTTTAAAACCTTTTTTGTTTTTGATTTCTTAAAACAAATTGTTTGTGAAATGCAGTTAAGTGGGGTCATCCATAAAGCACGTCACCCTAATTTTGTCAGTTCTTAGCCCTTTCCCTTCTGTCACAAACGATCACTTATACCTGAACTCCTCTCCCTCCTAAACTGTTATAGCAGTTTTTATGTCAAAAATATTTTAAAAGATTTAAATGTAAATACTTTGCAGCATTTTTTAAAATTCATCCTAATGAAAATAACGAAAATACACATAACAAGGAAGAAGTGTAAAAGTAAAAACTTCGACAAATATTTTATTATTTAAATCACTCAAATAAGTGTTAAGAAAGTTTAATTTTATTAAAAGTTTGTTAACGCAAAAAAAAACAATTATAAAAAAGATTTTTTTTTTTGGTGCCAAAGATTTAACAAGACTTAAGGAAAATATTTCATAAAAAGTCTATGAATTGAAAATATTAAAACACGTATATCTTTGGAACTAAATAAGCTACAGAAGTAGTTGAAACCTTTTTGGAAATAAAGTATTTTAAGGAATCCAATGCATTAAAAATAAAAAGTACTTACATTTGATTTTAAAAGTTGCTTAAATTACCTACTTAAATAAGTATTAATAAAGTTGTAATACTAAAATAATTTTTAGTATTTTTAGTTGCTCTTGGTCTTGCAGAAAAACTATTTTTGATTTGATAACTTTCATAAATGTTATGAAAAATTATTCAGGAAGAGTGCCACCAGTTTTTTAAAATTTCCTTTGTTAATTATTTTTAATTTATTTTAGTTCAATACTTTTGCAATTCTTTTGTTACATAGCTCTAACTCCTAATAATAGATATAAAAAATCCAAAATAAATATCGCTCGGTAATGTAAGTGATGTAAAGTAAGTTAAATATGTGGTATCAAAACAATCAGCTTATTTTCCTTAGCCAGTCACAAATTTTTATACATTTTTAAAATCAGTATAGAATTCTGAACATATTGTGAAAGTTTTTGATACAAACCGCTTTACTGATTCGCAGAAATCTGACCTAAAAGTTAAAGCAATTTTTTTACCTTATTTTCCGTGTAATGTAAGTTAAGTGGCATTTTCAGTAATAAGTTTGTCCTCTTTTGGCCATATTCAAAACTTTTTAGCTTGTTTTATTCTTTAAACTAACATCTTTTATAAAAAATAGGTAAAAGTTTAATTTAAAATTTAAATAGGTAATTATTTGATAAAGTTGTTGCGCATGTAATGCAAGTTAAAAGTGGAATTGCCCATATATATATATATATGTGCCCATATATATATATATATATATATATATATATATATATATATATATATATATAGTGTGTATATATATATTTATAGTGTATGTATATATATTTATAGTGTATATATATATATATATATATATATATATATATATATATATATATATATATATATATATATATATACACTATAAATATATATACATACACTATAAATATATATATACACACTATATATATATATATATATATATATATATATATATATATATATATATATATATATATATATATATATATATATATATATATATATATTGGCTTTTTTTTAGTTTTGAGATGTTGTTTTTAGTTAATAACTACTAAAAATTGATAAAGGAAGGAAGAGGGTTCTAAATAAGCTTGTGTTAGGTTCGAAAAATTTCCGAAAAATAATAAAGATTTCTTCCCTTGTATTAAGCACAAAAGAGTAATTTTTTACTTCAAAGACCAGAGAAGACGAGGAAAAAATTTTAAGTTGTATTATTGCTATGAAAAAAAAACTTGGATAACTTTATCCAAAAACTAACATTCACCATTTTATAATGAACTTTAGCTTTCAAAGAAAAGCTTGTTAAAAATTCTTGAAGAGCTGTTTAAAACCATTTGATATTGTTATTTGTTGAAAGCTTTACTAGTCAAACAATTATGGGTGTATATTAATTATACAATTATGGGTATATACGGGTGTTAGCGTGTTTACTTCAGCAGGTATCTCAATCTTAGTTTTAATGATTTTAAAAAAGTTTTTAATCTGTGATTATATTTATGTAAATAAATACCTATGTCATGTTAATTGAAAAAGTTTCTTTCATATGGCAAAAAAAGAAGAGTTAATATTTCATGTTTTTTCATATAATTTATGCATTTTCATATAATTTATGCATTTTCATATAATTTATGCATTTTCATATAATTTATGCATTTTCATATAATTTATGCATTTTCATATAATTTAGTATAGGCAATTACAGCTGCTAAAAATAACTTTTAAAATCATTTTTCTTGCGCAATAAAAATCTGTTCTTGGTCTACATTAAAACACAAGTTTTGAAAAAAAAAAGTTCTGAGAGACAGAAAATTTTTTTCTAATAACCTTTTTACATGAGGCATTGTTATATGATAGGAAAAATTAAAGGAGATTCACTTTGTATATCTTTTTGATTATGTTAATCAGAAAGGTTTACACAATAATTTTTGAAAAATTTTCTGGGCAATGTTTTTCACAAACAGCCTGGTTTTTTTTTAGTTTGTAGAATCAATCTAGCAATTAATAACTTCTTTTTTGGATAGAAGACTAAAAATATGCACATTATTTCATTTATTAAAAGTAGTATTGTATTAAAGGTAGTATCATAATTAAGAACTTTGATAATGCTGCAGTGCATTTTTTTTACATAATTTTACATGGTTTTTAATAATAAAACAACTAATTTTCGAAAATATAATTTTTTAAGCAAAATCTCCAAAAAATTTTTTAAGCATCACTTCAAAAACATTAATGAAAGATTTTCATTGCAAATAATAGTCTTTTTTTGTGTGATAAATTTCAAAACAATTATCACGGTGTAATTCTGGTTGTGGTAGACAAAATCAACAAATATAAACAGTTTTTAGGGAATATCCTTTATAAGTCTTTTTATTACGTGCATAACAAACACAACATCTTTTATGACGACTTCTTTCATTTTTATCTGCAGAGTTTTTATAATTGAAGGGAAGTGTCTACCAGTAAGGCGATTGAAATCTTTTCCAATGACCACCCTAAGGTTGCGGGGTATCTCTGGGGTTAGTACAAAAACTAACTTGATGTTGCTGACTAAAAAATCTAACTACGATAATGAGCTGCCGATACACTGACTGTAAAATTTATGTGAATTCAAGGAAAACATTAAAAAATGACCTAAACACTACTTTCTTGGACCACTTATATGTTTTGCGAAGAGCTTGGATTCTATGGAGCTGCCAATCTACCTATTCAACACCTCCTATGTGCAAGTTATAGGCCTTTATTGCCAATGGCTTCAATGTTACATTACAGTCTCTGTCAGACTTTCCAGAATTGACTATAACTGGATTGTGGAATTTTGATAACCTATATACAACTTTTTGTTTTTTACCAGATTTATCTTTCGCAGCTCGATATTTGCAGGTTATCATTTTGTTTTCCATGTATATGGTTTTGTAAAAACAAGTGATTCCTTTTTCAAGTCTCTCATTTACAATATCCTTGCAGTAGAATTTATGGTTAACACGGATCAGGGATGCAGAGTCCCAAAAGGACTCCGGCTTTTCATCTCTATTTTTTCTAGGTCTGTAGTGTCCAAAAGCTCTAAATATATTTGTTGACTTATGATCTGCTATAAGAAAAAAATTCATGTGATTTAATGACTTGGAACTTATTATTTTTAAGTCCGGAGTCCTGGAGTCCTTGCCGCCATTATACCTAAGGGCTCCAGGTTCAAAAAATGATTGTTCCTCTTAACTAAAAGTCTCAATTTTTTTTCATATATATATAGTCCATAAACTTTTTATATTTTTAGACCTCCTAGATACCAAAAACTATAAAGAAGTAATTTTTTTGTGACTTTCAAATCTGGAGTCCTTTTTGGGACTCCGCATCCCTGACACGGATAGTTCAGTCTTTTTAGACAAAAGATAAATAGCAAGGTAGGAGCTTGTGTAATAGTTGTCTGTAAAAAGTATATGCCCCTTGTTTAAAAAAGGAGTCATTAATTCTATTGGTATGCATTCACTAGATGGCATTACCTCAAAAGTATCATCTTCATACAACCTAGGACCATAGTATACTAAAAAATCTAGGGTAATGTCATCTGATGTTTTTAATACATATAACTTGATATCAAACCTTGCTCTTTCGGTTTTAATGTACTGGCAAAAATGGAGTCTACCTTTGAATAACACCAATGACTCGTCGACACTTAAATACTGTCCCAGGCTATACACCTTTCTGCAACGATCTCTGACCATGTTCAAGAAGGGTCTGACTTTATGCAGTCAGTCTTGAGCAGGATTATTAAGATCATTGTTAGGTTATTGTTGTTGTTAAAATGAAGGAACTTAAGAGTTATTTTAAATCGGTCTCGATTCATAGTTTTGGAGAATATCAGTATCCAATAAAGATCAGCTGTCAACTAGTACATATTTAAATAAAGCTTGTGACCATCAATATCACTAGTCCTAAAAAGGTTTTCAATTCAACAACTGATGTCAATTCTTTATATTAGAATTTGTTGCTTTATATTATTTGGATTATCTCTCAAAAAATCTTTTGCATAATTAACATAATCTCTTGCATAATTAACATAATTTTAACATAACAATTAGTTTCACTTGCAATTGATTCAAGAATAGTATTTTCAGGTAGAGATCAAAAAAGTCAAGAGTGTTTTCTAATTTTACTCTAGCATTTAAACCTTGAGATGATATAAACTTAAATGCTTTATCTTCATTTTCTTTGTCATCAACTTCAACATGTTCCCAGGCCAGTTGTAAATCAGGTCGGTTAGCAAAACTGACTTGTTGATGCACTTGACCACTTGACCACCTTGAGGGCTAACATGGTTGCCACAAAGAAGCCCATTACCACAAGTAGAAACAGAAACCTGCTTCCTATTAGTAGATGTAAAAGTGGATGTACCTCTACTGTTTTGGATCATGGGTTGGTCAGGAACAAATCGAACAGAACAACCTCCACATGTATGCACAGTATGTGTTTGTCTTCCCCACTAGTTTTGAGACATTTCTGTTTCAATTTCATTTTCAATTTTAGACTCAATATCAGTTTCTATAACACTGCTGCTATCAGTTTCTAACATTGCTGCTATCAGTTTCTATATTAGTGATGACATTAATGTCTTTATTAGATATTAATAAATTTTGCTCTTATATTTTTTCAAAGTTTTCAATATTCTCTGGAACAAAATCTACAAAATCTTCTTCATATTCTATAATGCTCTCAGAGTAACTAATTTCATAACAATAAGGATCTTCATCACTTTCTGCATCACTACTATTTATATCTAAAATCTCGTTCATATCTGTATAGTTATTTTTTTTGTAAGACATTTTTTACATAAACTTCTATTTTGAATTGCAAACGATCTAGAAATGGAATTAGCATGCAGTTTGAAGTAAAATCTGTTAAATTTTACAACTAATAATATTTTGTTCTACTAAACATCTTATAGCAAATAAAACGTTTTTAAATTTAGGAAATATTGATGACTTGCTAGGCAGGTCATTTCTCATTTAAAAATAATTTTTATGACCCACCACGCGGGTCAGTCGTCACTAAAGGGTTAATTTTGAAAATGCTTACTTTAAACCCAATATTTTTTCAGATAAATAAGAAAAAAATATATATATATTTTAAAAAATTATTTTTTTTTGTCTTTTCTCCTAATTTTTTTGTCCTCCACATTTATAAAATGTTCTGCACAACACAATGACACTTGCTTCACTGGAGCAATGTTTTCTAACTTTTATTCAAAACATTTGCTACATTTTCACAATAAAAAAACCTTATGCATTACTATATAGTTTTATATAGAACATAGCATAATATTGCACATTATTATTTCTATCAAATATTATATATTTTTTTATTACTATTATTCTTTTTGCAGGTTGTCCACAATTCAAATGAAGGTGCAAGAAAGATGGAGCGAACAGAAGAAATGTATTATATTCAAAAAACCCTAGTTTTTAAAACTAAGGTATGAATTTTTAACTGTTAAATGTTTTTTATTTACATAATAATAGTCTGTTTTTACTTTAGCAGTTTTTAAAGAAAAAAATTTTCTGAAAATTATTCATATTTAATAGATTGTTTCATTTTTTCTTAAATGTCTTACTTGGTATGTAACCCACATCACGTTAAACAAAACACCAATATTTTAGATTTTGCAACTAAGCAAATCAGGTGAGCCTAAACAAAATAAAGAAAAAATTATTAGTCCACCAGTTTTTTGGTTGTGCATTGCAAGGACATGGCCAACTATATATATATACAGTCTTGAAAAAAGTTTAAGATCACCATGTTTAAATACTATACTTTAGTGCCTAAAATAAAATTGAGCGTGTATAAGTTTTTATTTGGAAACCATAGCTAGTTAACACAATTTCCCAATTATTATTAAATAATCAAAAAATAAATTCCCAATTAATTTTTGTACTGTAATAATTTTTTTATTAAATTTTCAGTTTTTCGCAAGTGGTCTTAAACTTTTTTCCAAGACTGTATATATATATATATATATATATATATATATATATATATATATATATATATATATATATATATATATATATATATATATATATGTATATATATATATATATATATATATATATATATATATATATTTGTTAATTCACCTCCTCAAAGTCGAGAAGGCCACTACAGACGAGGAGGCTACTTATTTGTGGTTATAACTATCTCTCTACTCTAAAACTCTGAAACACGACCCTTGCCGAACAAGGCCGCTACGCGAAGAAACAAGTTGAGCGCGGTACTACCAGGGACGTGATGGGGATCTGACTAGGAACTCGCTTATGAAGCATGCTGCCACTACACCACTACCGCATCATTATATATATATATATATATATATATATATATATATATATATATATATATATATATATATATATATATATATATATATATATATATATATATATATATATATATATAATGATGTAATGATACAGATAAATCAGAAACTGATTTATTGAAATAATTTGATATTGTTGATGAGTTTTTTAAATTTGTTTGTATTATATATGTTAATACTAATGAATTATATGTTGATAGTATTTGTTTTTCATGTTAATGTACAACAAAGTAATGTTAATGTTCTTTAGTAATTATATACGTGTTATATATGTATATGCTATATCTGTACTATTACTAATTGTAATACATGTAAATAGTTACATGTTTAAAGTTACTTATAAAAAAAAATTAAATTTAAGTAAATTGTACTTTTAACTACTGTAAATTTAATATTGCAACAATGTTGTAATTTTTTTTAAAGTGTTTGAATAACATACTTATATAATATATTATTATTTTACAGGTGATTTTATATGCAATACTTTATTATATTATATTTTATATAATATAATATGGATTATAAAATATGGCTTTTTTTTTCTTTTTCTTCCAGCCAATACCATTAGTTTCAGCTTCTAGATGGTTAGTAAAAAAAGGATTTTTATATTGTCTACATGAAGAAGGTCGTTTATCAAAATACAAAAATCAGTTGAGGCAAATCTTTAAAGGAAAGTGCAAATCAATCTTTTTGTTTTTATTTACTGATATAGTAATTATAACAAAAATGAAGAGTGAAGGACAGTTTAAAGTTATTGATTACTGTCAGCGTTCTTTACTCAAAGTAGAAGAACAGAAAAATATACAAACACCAGATCCTCCAAAAGTTAATACTCTCCAAATAAACCCATTAAAATATGCCTTCACACTAATTTTACTTGAGAATTGCAACAACAAAACTGTTGAATATCACTGTTTTTTAAACACATTGTAAGTAAAAGTTATTTATATTTTCTAATGTTTTTTTGTGCTTTTTCTGTTATGCTTTACAGGTTGAACTTGTATTAAATTACTTGAACAAGTAAGATTTTGTTGCATATCAAAGTTCATTTATTAAGGATCAATTCAATAAGAAATAAACTAGATAAAAAATGTCAACTGTTCAGAAATGTTAAGTCTTTGTGTCTTCTTGGGTTCTTGACATCAATTAATCAATTATCAATTATATATTCTGGAAAAAAGAAAGTTTTTATAACTATTTGTAACTTCCACGGTCGTTACAAATAGTTATAAAAACTAATATAAAGTAAAAACCTCTTTGATGATATAAAAGATATTATAGACACATAGTTATAGTTATAATAAAAATAGCAATAAATTTACAAAACAACAATAATAAAAATAATTAATTGTTTAATAATAAGAATAACAATAATAATATTACCAGTAAGTATAATTAACACCCAATAATAATGAATAAAATAAAGACATGATAATAATAAATACAATACATATATAACGGTATTGTCAAATAAATATTTAATAGAAGGCTGTTCATTAAATACGTCAACAAAAGTTATAAAAACCAGTAACAAAAAGAATTAAATCAATTCAATCTTCCATACAACAAGCAATTATATATACATAGTTTCAGTTACAAACAGTAATAAACTGACAAAACGTAACTAATAACGATGACATAAAAACAATTATCGATAAAAGAATACCAAGACTCAATAAATATAAATTTTAGTTTTTATAATATAATAGCAAAAATATATTGTAAGTATAATAAACAAATAAAGAAAATATAAACAGAAAAACACTTATTATACATAAAACTAAGGTTAATAAGTAAAAAATGCATTAAATGCATACACAAAAATAAATGACATATAAATATAACAATAAAAATACACATCAATATAAACAATGTATTCACTAAACAAAACTTTTAATTTTTTTCTTGTTCTTTTCTTTTAATGACATTATTGTTTCTGGTAGACTAACATAAGGTTCTGCAGGTGATTTAATAATCTTAAAAGCTCTCCCAGAGAAAGCAAGCTTATAGAAATCCCTTGATATGTTGATAGCATTAGTATTATTGCCTTGGTCTAATGCACAAAAGAAACAGTTAACAAATTGTAGAACAAGAGTATTGAAATCAGTATTGATTGTGAGAGAGTAAATTTTTAGACTCGAGATAAGATGTTAACATTAATTAAAGTCTCAAAGACCTTGCTGAAAATAGTAATCAAAGACCTTGCTAATAATAGAGAGGACTGATTGGATCATAGTTAGAGGGGTCAGACTGTTCTGCAGATTTTTAATAATCTGGAACCATTAAAGATACCATTTTCCAGCAGGCAGGATAACAAAACTTAGTTAAGCACTTATTAAATAGTTTAGTGAGTATTTAAGAGAGTTCTGGAAAACACTTTTGTAAGACTGTGACAGGAATGTTGTTTGGACCACAAGTTGTAGAAGAGTTTAATTAAGAAATCACTTTAGTAATGAAAGATAGAATGATTTAAATATTTAACAATCAGTTAAACTGTTTAACTGGAATAACAGAAAGATTAAAGGATTGAGTTAGTAAAAAGGTCTTTGGAAATAGTTCTGCCTTATCATTGGATTTCAGCAATGAAAGCAGTAGAAGAGTTGAAGAGAGAAACTTGAGCAACAGAAGACTGATTCAGATATCTAACAGTGGATTAAGCTGTTGCTCTATATGGCAGAAAGAATGTAATCATTAGATTCAAGAGGCGAATTAGAGGAAAGGTTCTTTGCAAATAGTTCTGCTATATCCTTAAGCGATAAAACAGAACTATTGGCTGGAAAGAATTTGTAAAATACAAGATTTGATAAACTGATGATAATGAAGCTTATCAGCACCTTTTTAGATTGATTTCTTGCAATAAAAAAAAGGCATTTATTCTCAAGAAATATAGCAGATGCTTAAGACGTTAAAAACTATGGGGTAGAATGAGGGTCTACCTTAATCAGAATAGAAAAAATAAAAGCTTCATACCTGCCAAAATCTATGAGTTCATGAAGGGTTATCAACAGAGAGACAAAAAATATCAACTCTGTCACATGGAAAACCACAAAAGAAATTTCAATCAGCTTTAAAAGATAAAAATTTTAGTGAGATCATAGCTCACCTAAAACTGAGCTCAAGCTAAGATTCGAAACAACACAAATTTATATATCTGAGTAAGAAATTTAGAAATACAGAAGTTTAGGCACTAAAGCTCTGAAAGGTCATCAGTGTTGTGGTGGTCAGCGGTGTTGTAGTGGTCAGCAGTGTTAGAGCCAAGCCATTTAGTATAATAAGCATTAAAGTCACTAATAACTACAATATTGGGTGGTGGATATAGAGAAAAGAGAAACTTGGTCAATTTGATCAGAAATAACATCAAAAAGAAAGTATTGGGAAGAAAGAGAATGATAAAGAGAAAGCTTGTGCATAATGATATTGGATCTTCAAATTTTTTTTTTTTGCATTTTTTAAACCACTTGTCAGGTTGTAACAAAAATTTTAGTATTTTTTTATTTTATTAAAATGAGGTTTTAAGTTGTGTCACAATAAAACTGTTTGCATGATTCGATGCATCCAAAGTAAATAAATTTACTTTACAAAGTAAATATATTTATTTATTTTGTTAAGTAAATAAAAATGTTTTAAGGTAAATAAATATGGTTTAAGTTAAATAAATATATTATAAGATAAATATGTTAATAAAATTTGTCTTTTAAATTTTTTCCTTTTTTAGAAATGATAAAACACGTTGGGATGAAGTTTTTTTCCCAAATCAAAATAATGTTGTTGAAGGAGAATCTATATATGATGATTTTGGTGAGAACTTTGGTATTGTTTAAAGTTTTAAATTTTCCCTGTTGTATAAATGTTTTTATTGAAAGTTTTATTTAAATTTCTTTTTATTTAAATGTTTTAAGTATTTTAATTTTTATATTTATTTAAATAATTAAATTTTATTAATAAATAAATGTTTCAAAAAAAATTTTAAATTTAGAGTTGTTTTATTTTGTTTTACAAACTTTTATTCAAGATAGATTTAGTTAAAAAATGTGCTATAGTTTTTTCTTTGACATTTTTGTTTAGGGATTTAACTTTTTTATGAAATTATTATATTTAAAAATTTAAAAAAAGTAAAATCAAAAAATTAAAATCAAACAAAATTAAAAACAAAAAATCAGTTATTGCTAAAATTTAGATTTGTTGAAAAACACAATGACAATATCTGTTAATAATAAGTTAAAGAAGCATATTTGTCAAATAATTAAAAATAATATAGTAGCAAAAAAAAAATTTTTATAACTGAAATTTAATATTGCAACAAACACAAATTTACAAACAAAATTACATTGCTAATTTATATTTTTATATAAATAGTTTTATGCTTTTTATTTATATTTTTTGTACTATTGAACTAATTTTTTTTTAATTTTTGTTAAAAAAAATTTTCTATTTCTTAAAATTTAAGTATTTTAATAGTTAAAATTTTTTTTGTTTTTTAAAATTAAGTTTAAAACTTTTTGAATCTCTTCATAGCATAGTTAGAAATACTTAAGTCTACAAAATTAATATTAAAAACTATTTACATAAGCAAATACAATACTTTTTAGATTGTCCTCAAGTTCAAGTTAAACGTGCTTATCAAGCTCAACAGAGTGATGAACTTACACTTATTGAAGGTGACGTCTTGAAAGTTCTTCGAAAGACTCCTGATGGTAAATATAAACTTTAAATATTTGAATATTTCAGTAGCAAGCAAATTTAGAGTCCCTTTTCAAAATTTATGGAGTTTTTTTTACCTAGTACCTAGTGGAAATGTGTGTTCAGATGGTAATTCATAGTCAGTAATTTCTTTATCAATGGTTGCTGAGTAATTTTTAAAATTTTATTAAAGCATGTTTAATACAAAAAGGCTTTTAGAATTTAAAACTTAGTAAAATATTAAAACAAATTGTTCAAAAAATATCCCAAAGCAAAGTCATCCCAAAGTTGGAAATTATTTTAGGAAACTATACCTTCATTATTATTTTTATAATTTTTGATTGCATCTACATCATTTAACACAATTGCTAAATTATGCAATACAGCACACACAGCAACTAAGGTGTTAGCTCTTTCTAGGTCATTTGAATATCTCCATGAAGCAAATGAAAGTGTCTTTTCCACCTTCAAAACACAGTTTGAAAGTTGTTTCCACATTCCAAACACTTATTCAATTAAAACTCTTGTTTTTCTTAAAGATATAGCCAAATCTTATTAAAAATGTCACATAATATCTTTATAAAGATATAGCATAGTCTAATCAATTCAAATTACAACAGTCAAGCTGTTATAATTAAACTGGGTAGGACTGAAATATGGCATAAGAAACCAACAAAAATATGGATAGTCGGATCAACAAGTAGTAAACTTTTAAGAATACCATCTATAAATATTTACTAAGTTTTAATTCTCTAAAATCATGTGTGCTACAAGGTCATTTGCAGCAACATTAAAAAACTTTCCGTTTCTATCACACACCATTAAGTGAATAATTTGATGATTAATTGACATAAACATATTTATCCTTGAATGATTTTTGTATGCAAATGCATGTGAGTCTATTAATCTAGTTACTGTGGGAATTCTGCCACGTAAAACTTTACTCTGCTCTCATTTAAAATGTATAGAAGTTTAAAATGAAAGGAATTAAAAAAATCAAATATTCAATTTAATCGATTATGGACTTCTTACTAACTGATTAAAAGTCAATTTAGTCAATTAAAAGTATTAAAATCCTTATATCTTTTCATTCTATTTAACTTTTTAATTTTTAATTTTTGTTCATTTAATAAAAATAGTATAATTAATACCTAGTTTTTTGTTTACTATTTATACTTTTACTAAATTTTTGATTGTGTTTTATTATTATTGTTTTTTTTTTTTGGTTTTCTCAACGCTTTCGATTTTCATAAATACTTTTATACCACATAGGGCCGCCTCAAGCTGGCTTGAAACCCCAGGGTAAAATTGAGTTGCTTCAAAATCTAAATGTCATCTATACAATCACATTGTAAATATGATTGTAATGGCTTTTTGATATATAGCAAGTATTTTCATCTATTCCCAGACCTCAAATCATTGAGGTCTGGGAATAGATTGTACCATTGTCGGAATGGCGCTTCTCATTTTGTTTTGCTTCATTGTTATTTAAATGATATGATATTATAAAATAAAAAGCGAATATAAATTACTTTATTATTTTTATTACAATTTATTTCAAGAAAATAAGTTATTCCTATATTTGGACTAAATCAACTTTGAGTCAACTTAGACAATTTTAAAAATGTATGAGTCAGTTTTAGTTGACTTAAGATAATATATGAATCGGTTTAGTTGACAGTCAAATTATTTAATACTTGTAACAACTCTATTATATACCCAACAAACTGTTTTAAAATATGTTCATTTTTTTGCCTCTTGTGTTTGAGATGTTACATAGCTTTGTGATAGAAATTTATTGGAATTTGTTCCGATAAATTTCCCACAAAATTTGAGTTCTGGACAAGAGATTTTAATTATATTAATAATATAGTTTGTATCTAAGGAATCTGTAAACTTGATTTTCTCAGAATGTTGTGACTCATGAATTTAACTTTTTGTAAAGAAATTGTTTTTATTTGTTTAAGATTATTTTTTGTGCCTCATACTCTGCGTGTTTTACAGAATGAACTACTAAGTCTATACTCTCTACTATTTAATAATTGCTTGACTAAATCTTGTTTTCCTGCCTGCTGAAAATGGGATCTGTGGATCTAATTTTTAGTTCCAACTATGGAGATAATTCTGATCCCTTCAAGTATTGTCTGATCAGTCTTCTATCTATTTTTTATTTTTATTTATTTATTCATTTTTTTTTTTTGAAATTTCATGTTATATTTTTCTATACAATATTCTTATATCCGAAGATATTGTTGGCTGCCACAAATAATCATTAAGACTAATCCTAAGTAGCGTCCGTTATTGACCAACATTTAACTAATTGAGCTATCCCGTCACATAAATAAACATTAATAGTATAAATATCTATTAATAGCAAGGTTTTTGATTCTTTGATCAACAAATTTCTTTCCGTCTTGAGTATATACTTGAGTTATATAGTAATACCGTATTGAGTATATACCGTTTTGAGTCAAATAAGTTACTTTCAGACAATCAATAAGGTTTTTTATCTTCTCTGTCTATGGCTGACTTGCTAACTGCTGTGGCTAAAAGATTTTATTTTGCATTGATGACCTCCATCTAGACTAAGCTCTTGACATATCTAAAGCTTTCGATAAAGTTTGGCATGTTGGTCTTCTTCATATGCTTGCTTCATGTATCTAGGAAAATATTTGAGATAACAAATCATTTTTTTCTGACCACTTTCTTAAAGTTATCCTTGAAGGCCAACACTCTTCTTCATTTCCTGTAACTTCTGGGTTACCTCAATGTTTTATCTTTAGTCCTGTTTGTTTCTTATCTACATTAATGATCTTTCTAACAACTACATCTAAAGTGGCTTTATTTGCTGATGTCTTAACTTTATACTCCTATCTTCGCAAAAAGTTTTCTCTTTTCCATTGTTTAGAACAGTCAGCTATTCTTGAATCCAATCTCACTTCTGTAGCAGATTGGGGCTTGCAGTGGCTTGTGAATTTTTATTCCATCAAAACTAATATTAATTAATATTAGCAATCCTCTCACTGAGTCATCTTCTTTACTTTATTTTGTATTCTTAAACTTTAAAAAGTTTAAAAATGTAAAATACACTAAATGTCTTTTGTCACAAACATTTCTTTATTTTCATTCCTTAAATTTGTTTTTGTGCAGTAAGAAGTAGAACAAATATCTTTCATATGTAAAGTCTACTGGAAAAAATTAAAACATAATTTGAGAAACTTACATTATTAAAATGGGGAGAAGACTTTGAAAATTTTGTAATGGGGAAAAAATTAGCTGACAATATAAAACAATTTCTAAAAATGGAAGGTTTACGGATAAAATAATAAACAAGATTCAAAATTAATATAGCAACATTATTATTCGACAATAAAGTATTGGATCATTATATGTTATGAAAAAATAGGTGCAATATCATAACACAGCTGACGTGTTGTGATATTGCAGCAATTTCTAACAGTTTTGGCGCCAGTTTTGTTCCCACACTGTAAATAGTAGTGGAAATAGCTAAGGGATCTAATTACATGTCAAAAAATATAAAGCATGTACCAGTTTGCCTCTTATTATGATATATATATATATATATATATATATATATATATATATATATATATATATATATATATATATATATATATATATATATATATATATATATATATATATATATATATTATGATATATATATTATGATATATATATTATGATATATATATTTCCATATCTCACGTTTGCTAATTTTTATGCTGACCAAGCACTTTAAAATTACATTTTTGATTATTTTAAAGGGTATGTAACTAACTAATGGTAGAGTACTAACATCTCGAAGTTGTTGGATTTGATTCATTTTTTATAAATTTGTGTTTTATTAGGATGGTGCGAAGGAATGCGCCTTCGAGATGACGAAAAAGGATGGTTTCCAATCGACAACACATATGAAATCGATAGTAAACACAAGCGTGCTAAGAATCTTATGTTACGATATAGATTACTTACCTACGCGCAGCAAAATATCACAAAAGGAATATATTAAAAAATATATATATATAATTAAGCTTGTATTAATCGTATGTTGTTTAGGTAAAAGGAGCCGCCACCGCTACTTAAAGGACAAGAATGTTTTTGTTTTTAACATATGGTTCTTATTACACAGTCCAAAGTACCATTAATTGTTGTTTTTTTATGAGAAACATGAATAATGTCAGTAGTTTTCTAAAGTCGTGTGTGTTTGTTTATAGGTGTATATATATATATATATATATATATATATATATATATATATATATATATATATATATATATATATATATATATATATATATATATATATATATATATATATATATATATTGATATATTTGATCATGACCTTTTTATATATATATTATATGTTTATATATATATTATATCTTTTTTGAAAAGTTAATATAGTCAAAGTCTATTTTTGACCAATGGTCTAATAGTTTTCTAAATAAACTTTTTTAAATTATTACTTTTTGTAATTGGATATTTGTTGAGATTGTTAGTATTGCTACATATTGCTCATGCAATGTGTATCGATTTTTTTTATGTACATATTTTATAATTATACTATTTTTATAGCTAAAGCACTTATAAATAAATAAACAAAATTTTGAAGCCAAATTTTTTCTGTAAGGTTTTCTAGACAAAACTGGTGGTTTAACTTATGACTATTAGGCTGTAATAGTCATATATATGGACTCGGTAATATTTTATATATATATATATATATATATATATATATATATATATATATATATATATATATATATATATATATATATATATATATATATATATATATATCGTCTTATAATATATATATCTTATATTTTGAGAAAAGATATATATTATATATATATCTTTTCTCAAAAAATTGAGGTTTTCACAAAAAAAAAACCTCACAATTACAAAAGTTCTAATATTTAATTAAACTAAATTTAATTAATGATTGATATATAATGTCTTGACCTCCATCAATAATATCATGTCCTGACCTCCGTCAATGTCTTGACCTCCATCAATTGATTTGCTAGTTGTGTCATGCGAAAAAAAAATGCATTTTTATTGGTATTTGATTTGCAGGGTTGCAACAGAAGATACATGTAGTAAATTACAGTTTAAGGGTATTGAAACCCCAAAATAGCATTTTTTGAGATACGCGGTTATGAATTTTTTTGAGATACGTGGTAATGATAACGACGAGATATATATATAGTCATAAAATAATTTATAATTTTAGAATACATTTATATATATTCTAAAATTTAAGATCTAAAACAAATCCCAATTTTAATTAACAAGGCTAAACCTTATACTCTTCTGATTAAAATAAAAATTTAATTCGTTCAAATGTATTTACGAAGATGTCCTTAAAAGAAGAGGCTTTCATAATTTCGAGTTAAAATTTTGAAACATAATTTGATTCAACTCACATAAAGCAAAAATCTTTACACCAACCAAGAAAAAGTTTTTGAAGTTGTTGAAACACTTTCTGCTCTCCAGTAAATAGCATAAAGTTTTTATTTAAAATACAAATAATGTTAGCTACAGTTGCACAAAAAACTAAAAAATGCGGAAAGAATTATGAAAGACCACAATGGTGCTTTTTAACATTAAAAAGAAATTCTAAATGAAAAAATAACTGAAAATTGTAATTTTAAACAAAAAAAACAATTGCCTAATGAATAGAAAATATTAATCAAAAAACGTGGTATATGTGTAACGTGGTAAATGTGTTGTTTATTCTAAACATGTTTCCGATAACAAGGTCAGGTTTACACTAATAGAGGTTAGCTATTTTTGATGTGCAGACACCCCACCCCCACTCCCTCCAACGTAACAGATTTCTTGTGGTGTGACGGCCGATAAACCTTTTGAATTTATAACTGCTCTACGTAAGTTTTAGTGCCATTTCGGTGAAGTAAAAGTGGTTTAATAAACAAAGTAAGGAAACATATCTAGACTAGCTATATAGACTAGGTGGGAAAGCAAAATAGTATCGCATATTCACTGCTAGAAAATATAATTAGAGCTGAAAAAAAACTGACGGAAACTCATTTTAATGGTTAAGATCAAAATTATGATTTTCTGATTATTTTTTGTTTTTTAATTTTACAACTTTATGATTTAAAAAATATTCGTTAACGATGTGTATATATATATATATATATATATATATATATATATATATATATATATATATATATATATATATATATATATATATATATATATATATATGTATATACGATTGTTATTAAGAAATAAAAGAACGCGGGAACTCGTAGAAGACCGTGAGGTCTTGTCGTCGAGAACCGCTAAAAAGTTTACGTGATAACATTTCGTATTAATAAAATATTCTTGAATATACTTGAAGATAACAAATAATTAAGAATTAAGAATTGAAAACATAAACAAATTTAAAGAAAAAAAGGAAAAAGGTTCCGTTATAAATACATAGATGCGTTATACAGTTTTAAGATTTAATATAATTTAACAATTTGTAAATAGTTGTTTAACAACTATTTACAAATTGTTAAATTATAAATTTTATTAATGCAGTGTTTAACATAAAGTTTAAAAAAACAAAAAAAATTAAAAGAATATAAATATATCATCTAATAAAAAAATGACTTTTTTAAGTTTTTGTTTGAAAGAGTGATAGCTAATCTCTTGAGAAAATTCAAAATTCTTTAAAACTATTTTATTCCAAAGTTATGCTCCTCAAAATAAAATACAGTATTTTCCAAAATTAGTTTGATAAGCAGATTGACGAATGTCGTTATCATTTCGTAAAAAGTATTTAGTTTTTTCTTTTTTGTTATACAAATTATAAAAAGGTACAGAAGAAATATTGTTTTTACATTTAAACATAAAGCACATAACGTTAAAAATATTAGGCTCATATATATTTAAAACTTTCATTTCAGTTAATAGAGGCTTGGCATGAGTAAATCGATCCTTAAAATTAATAAGGCGTGCAACATGTTTTTGTTGGCGATAAAGAGGTTCCAGTTTACTTCTATTAGTACTACCCCACACAATGTTCGCATAGTTTATGTGACAATGAATGTGCAAATAATATAGTTTAAGTAATGTATGTTTATTTAAAAAACTCCTTGCTTTGTGTAAAATTCCAATGCTTTTTAATATTTTACAACTCAAATTTTTTATGTGACTTTTCCATGACAAATTTTCATCAATATAAATATCAAGAAAGTTGGCAACTGTTACTTTTTTTAGAAGTATGTTATCAATAAAAAGCAGCGACATGTCGTTTAGTTTAAGAATTTTTTTTGTGATTTGGATGGAAAAAAATCCATTTCGTTTTATCAATATTAGGAGACAGTTTATTTGTCTTAAACCAATCAGAAACTAGTTCATTATTGATATTCTGAAATAAGAATGTAATATCATTATGAGATAAAAATAAGTTCGTGTCATCTGCAAACATAATCGTCATTAAATTTGAGGCTTTATGGAGATCGTTGATGTAAATAAGAAAGAGAAGAGGCTCTAATATTGATCCCTGAGGAACTCCATAGGTTATAAAGAGTAAGTTTACTGGTGAAACTACATCCACGTATACAAATTGCTTTCGATTATTTAAATAGCTTTTTAACCAATTTAAAACATTTCACAAAGTTTATTTAAAAGAATATTGTGGTATATTGTAAGTTGATAAAAATCCCAATATTGTGAGTTTTCAAAAGAGTTAGTAATACTTCTCCTAAACTTGAGAACTGCGGGTTCTTTCGAGTTATTTTTTTTTGAATCCATATTGATTGCTATATATTAAATTATTTACAGATAAATTATAATAAATTCTGTTGTATAAATTTCTCTCCAAGGCTTTTGAAAATGCAGATAGAATAGAAATGGGACGATAGTTGCTAACATTTGTTAAATCGCCTCCCTTAAATATCGGAATCACCTTTGCTATTTTTAGTTGGTTAGGAAAAATACCTTGCCCAATAGAACAAGAAAAATTTTTAAAAAGTACATCTTTTATTATTTCATATGATTTAATAACAATATTTACATTGATATTGTCCGCACCTGCTAAGTTGTTGGGTTTTAGCATTTTAAAAGCGCTTTCAAACTCTTCAAAAATTAGTTCAAAAGAATTAAATTGTGATGTACTGGGATAAATAGATTACTTATTGGATTAATTGCTTGAGGAATTTTTTGGGATAAATTTGGTCCGACAGAAACAAAAAATTTATTCATCTCGTTAGCTATATCTTCTTTATCATACAAATATTTATCATTTAATTTGATAGTTTAAGGCAAAGTTTATTTTAAAACTCTTTTCGAAACTCACAAATGTAGATCATTATAGAAAACAATAAATATTTTTCATTATAGAAAACAACTAACTACTTTCAAAGAAAAACTAGAACTTTATCGAGAACAATAAATAAGGAAAAAAATTCGAAACCACTTTCAACAAAAATCAAAACAAAAAAAAAAAAACGATGTGCGTAAAAACAGCTTGAAAGTTTTAAAAAATTTTAAAATGAACTTTTCAAAATATTTTATTGAAATCGACGGAGAAAAAAAAATTCAAAAGTTTTTTGGTCAGGTGATTTTGGTACACTAAAAACAAACTTTGCAACGACAAACTACAATCTTAAGTGTCATTTTTTTAAAACAATGGACTGTAAAGGCAAATCTTTTATTCATGAAGATAAACTTCAGGCTACAATTGGACTCAGTTGCAGTTCAAGAGAAACAGATTTTTGTGCTGATTGCTAAAAGTGCCATGAAGCAACATCTGAAGACCTGCACTCCATTTTTCAAAATACTTTGAGTGAGTTTCCTGCAGTTGTTTCTGAACCTGTTAGTTTTCTTCAAATAATCTTAAGTCTTCAGAAATAAACATAAGTTTTGAAAGTTGCTGAAATTCTGAATGACAATTGTCATTCATTGTTTGTCATTTAGAATCAAATTGTTTAAACAATCTGATTCTAAATGACAAACAATGAATTTTGATCCTGGTGACCCTCATTTTTGGGGCACATCTAATTCAGTTGTAAATGCTGTGATAACTTTCAAATCTGAGCAGGGCCGAGTTAAGTACTTATTAACCTCCCGGCACTTTAAGCCTTCAGGCTCCTGTTGGTATTCTAGTATTCAAATTTAA